TTGTGTAGTAATTTTTGAAATTTTTATTTTCTTCTATTAATAAAATTTTTTTTCTTCCTTATTAAAATTAAAAAGTTAAGGGGTAATGTGTGATGCTGGAAAACGTCTTGAGAATGAACATTTTCAATTAATTTCTGAAAATTCTTTCTAAAATCGTTAATTGTTTCGCCGTACATCTTACACCTAATTAACTTATTGTCACTAATTTGTCATTGTTCTATCATCCTTTCTTATAATCTTTTAGCTGTCATGATTGCTATTAAATGTATTTCCAATAAAGCAAATAATTGGATATTAATGTCGTTGAGATATATCCTGTAAAAGCCCAAAGCCAAAGCCTAATGTCACCTTCTCTTCTTTTCATTTATTTTAAGATTTCAAATTTTATAAACCTTTTGTTTGAATGATTAAATGTAAAATGATTTCGAATTGCTACATTTCTTCTCAAAATTTATATTATTTTATTACATGAAACTTTGACATCCACTAGTTCCATCTTCTCCACTTTCATTTCATTGAAAGACAAATGAAACTTTCTTTTTTCTACAACTAAAGAAAAATTTGTTTCCTTAAATTCGTTCCTATCTCATCCAATATGCTATTATCTTTAACTCATTCAAGTTTTATTACATACAGGATTGACATCGATATCTCTATGACACTTTTTTATTTTGAAAGACAGATCGCTTCATGAAAATTTACAACAAAGCATAATGCTATCACGAATATCGATCAATAATCATGAAGGGATGAAAATATGCAAAAATATTAGTATTTGTGGAATATGAATATGTTTGAATTATCTATGCTTGATACTTGCTTGTTTTTGAAATATCAAAAAAGTAAAATGTTATCTTTGAAAGTATCAATAGAGTAGGATGTCGTCTACTATGGTCAAATAAAATATCTGATGGATTTAGAATAATAGAAGAATTCAAAATAAATATTTTCCATAGCTTTGTAATTATTATTCCTTTAGCTAAGCTATTTAAATCCATTAGGTGCAGTAAACATTTAATTAAGTGTTTAATTAAATATTCTTTCAGATTCCATTAGCAAAGCATATATGCAATGTAATGATGGAAAATATACAAATCCCATCACATTAACAGTTTTGATCTTATCTATTATCTTTCCATTAAAAATTAACCAATTCGTTACTAACTTCTTATGGTAATTACAGTAGATAGTTCGTTTTTCATTTCAAAAATATGATGAAAGTTCAAAGGTCAAGAAGAATGAAATGTCATTCTAATCTCATCTCTTCATTTCTTTTACTATAACAACGAATGCAACGTAATCCGATTCATTTAACAATCCGATCAATCTGATCAATCTGGAAATATTACGATCCAATTTATTCGAAAATTTCATAATTTAATCGATTTAAAAATTCATCAAAATATATCTTTTGGATAAGCAATCCCGATTGGCTAATTTTTCTCATTGAAAATCTTTGATTGTAGAAAAATTTTTTTAAAATTCAAATGATGTTGTCTACTACCTTTTTCTTCTTTCATCATATCTTTGTCATCTGCATATCCCAAATGTGTGAATTTTCTCTGGCATTAGTTAACTGAATGGTTAAATAATGAATAGATGAATATGTTCTAAAGCTATTCAATTTCTTCGCTTGAATGATAATTTAGATAAAAAAAAATCATACTGCAAGATTGAGTTGAGCTAAAACTAGCATCAAGCAGAGTTGAAGCTTAAAAAGATCCATCCTCATTAACATATTCTACTCTCTAGAATTGTCACTAACCTATATTTTATTTATAATTTCTCTTTTGAACTGAATAAATATTATTTCCGTCTAAATGCTAATAATCAAAGTTACTAATGTCAAAGTCATCTTTTAGTTAGCCCGTCCATTGTTATTGATAAGCTTTTGGGATTTTTATGTTGTTTACTTGTTAATCATCACTACATATAATCTCAAATCTTTGCTACTTTAACTGACACTCTCTAAAATTATGTCTAACAATTTGTCTAGCTTATTTGAAGGCGTTCAATTGAAGTTAAGTTGAAGTGGTCACTAGTGGTAATGTAGTTGGCCAGAGTAGTAGTAATAGTCCAGTGGAGATGCTTTCCTTTCACTATAACAACCATGGTCATTTTTCAAATAATGTCACATATCACATGATAAAAGGGATTTTCGTTTAATTTTAGTAGTAAATTCTAAAATTCATTCTTTGTTTATGCTATTTTTAGAAAGTTAGAAGCTTTCATATAAGTTACTTTTGCTGAAATATGTTATCATCAAAAGAGCCGCCATTCATTGATTCTAATTTTTAATAAGAAAATTATGAAATAAATTTTAACTATTATCATTGCATTTTCCTTCCATTCCTTTCTCTGATAAGTAATAAATGGTTTTTTTTTCCCTTTTCAAGCAAATAATAGTCTTTTTGAAGAGCTAAAAATGAGTGAAAATTTTTTTTTCTTTTTAAACTTATCAAACAATGATAAATTATACCATATAGCTATTTTAAAAAGATGAGAGAATTTATCGGACAAAATAGGGCCTTATTGGCTGAGATATATTTTAGTTTCCTTAATAAGCATTAGTATCATAGCTATTCGGTAGCTTTGCCATTTTTGTTTGCTCAAAAGTTCTAATTGGATGAATTTTTGAAATCGAGAACTTTTATTTACCCTTTTCTTCTTTAAATAATTCAAATTCGTTATTCCTTCTCAAATTTTTTCTTTTTTTTCTTTTTAATCACTGTTATGAGGAAGTCAGAAAATTTTTGTACAACAATTGTTATAACATTGAGGTAATTAATTAATTAATTAACTTTATTTTTTTCTAGTTGATTAGATAAAAAAGCCATCACTTACAAAATAGTTTTCAAATTTGTGGTTGAGATAATGATAGTTGGAAATTTACAGATATGTATATACATATATATGTATGTATTAGCATGGGAATATAAAGGATCATAACTTTGATGTGATTTTGAATTTACGATTTCAAAGCAGTATTAAATCAATTCATAATAATAGAATTGCATCCTTTAAGCATATAATGTCAAATAAAAATTCGCCTATTTTCGTTATATTATTATTTAAAAAAGAAAAAAAAGCGAAATTTATGTTTTCCGGTCTTTTATTTCCATTTAATATATTTTTCTTCCAGAAAATAAACGATAAAAGGAAAAAAAAAAACATTTGGATATTGATTAACTAATCCAGTTTAGATTGTTTTTCTTTGCTTTTATCATTTATATAATCAGGTGACAATTATTCATTGTAAAATTAATTAATGATTTTTAATTGCTTCAAATTTTATTTCGATTCCACTCATCAAATAACAAAAGGTTTGCAGGTGATAAATTGTTTGAGAAGAATGAAAAGCTATTCATTAACAACAATTTAGTGTATTTCTTCCTTTCCATTCTTCATTTATCACTTATTACTATTATCTTTTTTCTTATCCCACTCATTATTATTAGCATTAAATTCGATAAAATGATAGAATGATAATTTAGCTTACTTCTTTTCCCATAATTAATTGCTTCATATTACTTTTCATTTTATTTTTATCTCACTTTTAACTTATTCAGCTTTCTACTTTTTCATTATCCTTTTCATGTTAATTATAAATAAATTTGCCACTTCTATTTCAATATTATAATTTGAAAACTTTGATAAGAATTATATATCTATTATTTTGCTAAAATGTTTATATATTTATTATTTTACTATATATTTTTTTGCTTATATATTTATATTTATATATTATATATTTAATATTTATATATCTTATATATTTATATATTATATATTTATTATTTTGCTAAAATAAAAGGTTAAAGGTCTTAGATTTGAAAAGTTAATAGATATAAATGACTAAAGAACATATAATATGTGAAACTTTCTTGTCCATTTTCTCAATATGCTATTTAGTAGTAGAACAAAGTTAAAAATGTAATGACCGTTACTTTCATCTTCCCCTCAATTGGTCAGTGATTTCATTTTCACTAAAAGTTGTATAATTGAAAATGTAAATTTTTCAATACTCAGAGATCTACGAAATTGCCTTATCACTTCTTCCTTCATTATTCAAACGATTGAAAAGATGATAATGTATGATTAATATTGGCATTACTTTTTGGTTTATTTCTGATTTATAAAACTGATTGGTAATCATACTATACTAAAAATGGTGATTTACAACACTTGAGAGAATTCAATCTATCTGATTAGTCAATTCATCTTTTTATCTTTAATCCTTTCTCATGTTTAAACATTAAAATTGTCATGTTTCATTAGTGAGAAAAAAAAGAAAAAGAACTTACCAAGGAAGGAAGTATGAAACTTGTCAATGTAGCAAATGAAAATGAGATAAAGATGCTATAAATAAATTCAGGATTTGCAATAGGATTCAATATCATTAATACATGCCAATTACGTTAGCCAATATTAAAATGATGATGTACTTTTTGTGATGATAAAGTTTCAACTTTTTTCTAGATTTTTCGTTTCCGGAACTATGTCTTAATCAATGTTTCATGGAGGAATTGTGCTATTTTAAAAAAACGGAAATATTGATATCTCAGAGGGAAAAATTCGAAAAACTTTTGAGTAAAAGAAATAGCAAAGGATATTCTCGATTAAAGCATAAATTTGCTTATTTTATTTTAACAAAAAAATTCAACTCAGAATTTCATTACTATTCTACAAATGTACTACAAACATTATTTGCTCAAAACAATCACTCAGGCGAATCATCAGTACTAAACGAAGCTGCTGAACTAGGATCAAGTAATTTTTTAAATTCTGATCTTCGAATAAATTTATTCATAGATTATACAACTACTGCCTCATATTCAAGAGATCTGAATTCGAGTTTGGAATTTAATGGGTCATTTAGAAATCCTCAAGTGCTACCTAAAAATTATATCTATTCTTTTGCACAACTGAATACATCTTGTAAACGAAAACAAAGTTCAACAAGATATCAAATGAAATGGTTTATATCAAAACCATTAACAATGAAAGCGGTATCATCATCATCATCTCAGCTATCATTGTCATCAACCGTTTTATCATCCTCGTTTTTATCATCCTCCATAACAGCAACTGCTGTACCATCTATGAAGTACAAGCGGAAAACAGTATCAATTTATTGCACTGTTTATTTTATTCTGAATTGCCTCCGGAAACATTCCGAATTTATTGTTCCTGCTGATAGTAACAACCTGAAATCTTCATTGTGGCAATGCGGTTGTGAATATTTAAATTTGTTGAAATTGTTATTTTTATTAATGATATTATTAGTGGAAGGATCAAATGCTATATTACTTTCTGGAGCTCCCGGTTCATATGCAAGGTAAGTTATGCTATTTGTGTAGTTAAGAAAAAGATGAATGTTTCAAACGTACAATTTCTTCGATTGAAACTTTCAACTAACCGTAAATTTAAGACTGTAATCATTTAATTGATAAGAAATTATAAAATTACCTGTGGGAAATTACAGGTATTCCAAATGGATGCATACATTTGAAAATCAATTATCATTGGATTTCCGAACGAAACAAAGCAATGCATTGTTATTGTACACTGATGATGGTGGAGTTCAGGGAAATTTTTATTCTCTTACAATTGTTAACAAGAAATTACAATTAGATTTCAGGTAATAATCAAATTTAAATAATTAATTTCAAAAAATATTTGTCTCATTCTAACTTATTATATTTTGTCGAAAATTTAAACAAATATTAATTAAGAAAATGATAAATTAAAATGAATAATTGTAAGCAAAATTTTTCACTCAAAGCATTAATTTTAGATAAGATTTATTCATTACTTTTTAATTTTTAACTAATTTTGTTCGCCAAAAAAAAAGTTTGAGTTAAATATTTTAACTCACCAGACAATTCATTGTTAGGCTTTAATGCAGCAAATTTAGGCTCCATCTAATCGTTGTCTCCATAAGGCTATAAGTGATGTGATCCAAATTGGTCTTCACATCGCCGTCCTTTCACTTGTCACGATCTCTTTGAGATTTATCTATAAATTTGATGGAATTTTTTAAAAAAAAAAAGAAAACAAAAAAAAACCGTTGCTACGTTTGAACCTTATTTGGCCAGTCATTCAACTTACGATAAATTTCTCTAAATTATGTCTGAAGAGGCTTTCCTTTTGTTAATTTATCAATGTTTAGGCATAGCACATTTATATTCTTTCATACTCTTCAAATTCTTTCACATCCATTTCCTTTACAATCTTTGATCTTTTTTTGAACTTTAATAAATATTTTAAATAATTTTCTTTTTTTTTACTTTTATTACTGATAAATTGATATTTCTTTTTAACATATTATCACTGATAAAAGCATATGTCAGTTCGTAGGAAAAAAAAGAAAATTTACAAATTTGAATCAATTTTACAGATTAGGAGATGAAACAAATTACTTATCATCAGAAAGACCAATTATCACGATGAGAATGAATGATGTGGAAGTGAGCGATTATCGATGGCATCGATTGATTTTATTTCAGGTTATTTTCATATCATTGCAAGAATTCATATATCTAAACCTGATTTTCTTCCTGCGATATCGCGGGAGAAGCCTGCCATCCTCTTCTGCGACTCTTTCCTTACCAGACCGTGTGATTCTTGGGCACGAAGCCTGTCCGCCATCTTGGTAGACGATAGAAACTGTCTCTGATTGGCTACATATATAATGAAAAAATTATGTCTAATTAATGAAGTCCTTTAATCTCTTCCTTTGACTTATGTTGGCTAGGTTTCTTTTCGTAGTTGTTTTATGTAAATTGCTTCAGATGAAGATATCCAACTTAGTGTTTTTGAATGTAATTTATATATTTGTCCAAAATTTAATCAGTGCTTCTCATATGTTGTCATTTCCTATTTATTTTTCTTTGTAATACCATAAATAGGCGATGACAGCCTAACCTTAAATCAAAATCCTCCAATGTTGAAGTCCATCATCTCAATATTAAATAATGATATAATTAGGTCCTTCACATTTTCAGTGAATCCATTACAATGCTTCATTTACTATTTTTCATGAATGAATAGTATATGTATGTGTATACGGTATTGAATACGGTATTGAACAGAACTGAATTAAGTATATTAGTCCGATCTCGAAAATCGTTCAAATTTCTTATATGGCCCTTTGGAAAAATTAATTGCTCATCCTTAATGTAGACCAAAAAAAAAGAAATAAAAATAACACATTGTTCAACTATACGTTGACAATTTAGGTGATAATACGGTTGACACTAATAATATCAAAATGTGATATGTATTAGGAATCTGAAGCTAAGTTCTAATTTATCTAATCTTATGAAAAGCATAGTTTTGGATCCGTTAAGCCTAATTTATGATAGTTTCTTGGAAGTTTTTTCAATACAACAAAATTCAAAAGAACCATTAACTGAAGTCCAGATAAATTACTACGTTTGTTCAAGTTTAAAAAGAGAAAAAGAGAGAGAGAAGGAGAGAAAAAGAGAGAGAGAGAGGGAGGGAATTACCTTATAATCTCACTTTTTCTGAAGAATGATTTTCAAGTTATTTGAGAATAATAATGCGATGAATAATCATCACATTACAGCTCCTCAAATTATTCTAGGCTTGGGAAAATGTGAAATTACAACTGGATGATGCGGTCCTTTTCAAAATTCTCAATCAACATAGTTTTGTATTTGGTAATCTGAAAACAAACTCTGATATGTTTATTGGCGGTGTTCCAAAGGTAATTTTATTTTGTTAAAATTTCTTTCCATTATAATAATAAAAAAAGGTAAAATAATTAAAGTTACACGAATCAATGATATTGATCCAATTTAATTCTGGAATAAACCATTTAAGGATACCTATTTGCTTGGCGCAATGAGTTCACCGTTAAAGCGGCATACAATCTCATTTGCTGGCGGAGTTAAAAATTTACTGTATAGACTTTATCCACAAGGTTAACTCTTGTTTAAATTATAAATTTATTTTTATTCCACATTTATTTGTTAAATTTTCAATTTTTTTTATTTATTTACACATTTGTCATCTTAACTGTCTCATTTGTTTGACAATACATTTGCATCTCATTTGACAATACATTTCCATTTCATTGTCTTATCTGATACCATTCATTTCCTTACTACTATTTACATATGTTATTTATTAGTTTACCTATGCATTTGTACACCTTTATTTGATGCTCAATTACTTTTCCTATCATTTACTTATATCATTTTTCATTTTAATTAATGGATTTAATTTCTTATTAGACTTATTGAAGTCACAAATCATTTTTCAGGTATCACATCACCACAACTAATTGAAAGTATTGGTATAAGACAATCGGATGATGATTATTGTAAACCAATAAATATCCTTAATACAAATGATTATTTCTGTCAAAATGGCGGTATTTGTTATAGTACAGATGAAGGGCCGAAATGTGATTGTTCATTTACAGATTTTGGTGGAGAACGTTGTGAACAAGGTATTTGAAATTGAAATTTTAATTTTCAGTATTCCATCTCAGAGATATTTGATAATGAAGAAATCATTAATTACCTCATAGAATCTAACAATGTCATCCGTCAGTTTTTTTTTTTCTAAACTAAATTTATCAATTATTGAAATCATATTCGTTAATTTAAATATAAATAAAACAAAACTCAATAATAATATCGATTAATTGATGTCTTTTTTTTCCCTTTTTTCTTCAGGTCGGTCTGATTCCGATTTATCATTTAATGGTGAAGAATGGATCGGTTATGATGTTAGCAATAATTCTGCCGGAATGATACGTTTTCGATCGGAAAATATTACATTATCTTTCAAAACGACACATGCTCGAGCTCTATTATATGTTGGTGGTGATCGTCTGGTAAATTTTAAAGATTTTTCTAAAATTAAAAATATTAAAATAATGCGAATTAATTATGATGTAATGTCACCTTTGACATAATGTCACCCTTCTAATGGTTTCAATTTAAAATTAAGCATCTCTTTGCTAATTTATTTCTAACATCCTTCATCTCTTTATTATAGAATTACATTCACATTATCCTGGACGATGGTGCAGTTGTCGCAACATCAAAATTTGATGGTACGGAAAAACGGTTAATACGGATTTCTAGCAATTATCCATCCAGTCGATATGATGATGATCGATGGCATACAGTTACTGTTTTCAGGACGCTAACATTGGTTAGTTCCGTTTTTACACTTTCAGTATTTCATTCATTTTTGAAATATATCATTTTTAATAAATTGCTAAAATTTTATTGATGTGTGAGAGGTGTAATTTCAAAGTAATAAAAGATGGTATTCTCTTCTACAGTAAGATGAAGGGAACCGGATACAGTCATATCTTGAAATCTAGTTGGAGTATAAGTTTAGGAAATTCTAAAAATAATGGAAAAATTTCAAGGGGACATGATTTGGAATATATTTGTTATCAGAATAACTTCATCTCGTCAACTTATCACTCACTGTGCGATTATTTCAAATTTAAGAAATTCCAGTTAGTTTTCAGGTCTAAGAGCTAATTTTAGGCACTTGCATATTTGAGAAGATAATTAGTTAATTTCATATCTTCGATGGATTGATTCTTTCCACTCTTATCACTATCACTTCAATGATGTAACATATTTCAAACACACAATTTATCAATAGTAGAACGGAAAGGTTTAATACACACTGATAACTTAACAACTTCAGAGAACAACATCTGTCGCTGCAGTACATGTAAGTGACCAATTGAGGTGTGCCAAAAATGAGTTTTTTTTTTTTTGTTTTGCTAAGTATTCTATCCCCTTTAGAAATGTTAGCATGGCTTCGTCACATAACCTTTAATTAGTAATCTAGCTCCCTCCATTGCTTTCCAGTCATCTTCCCTCTTCCTCATATCCGGTTTTCCGTAAATTTTTGTTAATTTTTCAATTTTTTTTCTTCTTTTTTTTAGCCAGAAATTTAAACTTATACATTTTAAAAAATTTATAAAATTTCTATTTATTTGACAAAAACTTTTTTAATTTGCAAAATTTACTTAATGTGTATGTTTTTTCGAATGCTTTTAATGTGTTCGTGCAATATTCACTATTTTTTTTTTTTGAGATTTATTTAATTTTTACCTTCCATTTTCATCTTTATGTTAACACCAACACAAAATTTAATTTGCATTTTATGGAATATTAGAGAAATCTGAAATTTTGTGATGTAAAATTTTTATTTTAATTCACTTGTCCATTTAGTTATGAAATAAATAGCCAAGAAAAAAAAGAAAACATGGATTTGTATAATATGGACTTATTCTTTTGTTACAGTAATATGACAATAATTATTCTTATTTTGTATCTAAATGAA